CCCCCCCTGGGGGGGGGGAGACCCCGGCCCCATAGCTCCTGCTGGGGGGCACTCAGCGCTCCAGCTCCTGCTGGTGGGACAGGGGGACCTCTGGCCCATAGTTCTTGGTGGGGGGCAGCAGGCAGGATCCAGCCTGTGAGCCCCAGCTCCTGCTGGTGGGACAGGGGGACCTCTGGCCCATAGTTCTTGGTGGGGGGCAGCAGGCAGGATCCAGCCTGTGAGCCCTCTCCTATCAGGGGCTTTGTATCGCCCTTTCTCTAGGGTGGGGGGAGCTCAGGGTTGGCCTGCAGGAAAGAGGGGCCGGGCCGTAACAGGGTTTGGGACCTGGACTCCTCTCGGCTGCTGGAGCATCCTTCTGAGATTTGGGCTAAGTTGCCTTTTCCTCTCAAGTTCCCTGCTCCCCAATAGAGGCTGGGAAAATAGGTTTAAATACTAGCACCCCAGCAGGGTGGCGGCTGGAAATTCAGGCAGGTAAGGAATCCTTTTATATTCCTCTTTTCCCCTTTGGTTTGTTTGTGCACGCAGGTCCGGGATTGCTGGCCATTTGCGAGTAATGTTTTGCCAACAAACCACAGGTTTTCTTTTTAATTCCTTGTGCAAGGTTTTTCCTCTGCCTGGAGAACCATCCTGGCCCAATGCAAACCTGACTTGCCCCTGTACTGGAGAGGGGTCTGGCATAGGAAAAGGAGCTTCTGGAATAAGAATGCTGATGTTATGGTGCTTTTGCAAATAGAGAGTTACACTCAAGCAGCCTTCAGATTGTAGAGCATACTTTGCTAACCTGTCAAGTATCAGAGGGGTAGCCGTGTTAGTCTGAATCTGCAAAAGCGACGAGGAGTCCTGTGGCACCTTATAGACTAACTGAAGTGTATCTGACGAAGTGGGTCTTTGCCCACGAAAGCTTATGCTCCTACACTTCAGTTAGTCTATAAGGTGCCACAGGACTCCTCGTCGCTTTTGCTAACCTGGTAGTTCTTATTTTATAGCACCCAAAATAAATTGGGCACCTCTCGTAAAACAAATAAAGAGACAAGGTCCCTGCCTCAAAGTGTTTACAGTATACGACCTTAACCCTGCAATCACTTTTGCCATATCTGTGTGGAGCAAACTTTTTGGTTTTATTAGGTTTTTTTAGGTAACCCAACTATTATCTTTGTGCTTTTCTGATTTGGTTCAGTAGTAGTGAACCATGAAATATTGAGCAGTCGTGGTAGTTTATAATCCACGCAAAGAATATGTTTCCGTGTGATCTAACTATACATTCCTCTGATCAAATATATACCAGACTCCCAAGCCCAGTGAGGCTGTGACCCATCTTCCTGGTGTGTGTGTGATGGTTTCCATAGAGAGCGGTTGGTTTGTTGTTCTTGCTTGTGCCAAGGGAATTGCAAATGTCTCTGGAAAGAGCTTAGGCTATCCTATGTGAAGGCTGGATAGTTTCCCCCTTTCTCTCCAAGAACTGAAGCTTTCTTCAATTTCAGCTGCTGTGCAGGAATTGTATTACTATTGAAAGAAATAAAGCAACATAGCAGAGTAATTGTGAAACTGCTTTGAGGCCATGGAGGTTGGAAAGGAGCCAGTAAGGTCCTTGAGAGCTGGGCTTTGCCGTGCAAAGGGAAGGAAGGGACAGAATTTAAGTACTACTTTGGCTGTTAAGGTTGGAGGTAGGGATGTCAGTGGTTAACCGGTTAACTGGCTGGGCTAAAGTTCCGGCCAGGCCCATCGCACTGTCGTGGTGGGTCCCCAGCCTGGCTGGAGCAGCCTGAACCTGCCACGCCATGGGCGGGGTGCCGCTCCAGCCCAGCAGCCTGCCTGTCTCCGTTAAACACAATGTTTAACCAGTTAGCTGATTAAAGGGGATTTTACATCCCTAGTGGAGGGTGTTAACTGGGCGCCTCTCCCCCTCAAAACTTTCTTTGCAAGTTCATGACCTCTGACCCTAGTGCTGTGCATTCCTGGCTAGAAGTGATGGACAGAAATTGCATCAGTTCATGCATCGCACAGCCCTTCTCAGCATGCTCCAGTTATACAACTTGTAAAACCTGAATGAAAAGAGTTGGAGGTGGGGGATGGTATCTGAAGTGAAAGAACCCTATTGAACACGGTATGGTATAGGGTGGCTGAACTCAGCTCTCCATCTGTCATAGGGCGACAGTGATACATGTCTGCCTGACATGAAGGTATGGGTATTAGTTAGGCCAAAATACCAAGAAAGTACATACTGATTTTGAGAGTGTAACTTGAGACCCTCAGGCTCTGACTTTCAAAGGTTCTGAGTGCCTGCAAACCCAGCTGAAGATGCCGGGAGCTGGAGGGGCTTAGTAAATCAGGCCCAAGATGCCTGACATTCAAAAATTTTAGGCCACTTCTGAAAATGTTGGCGTGGATGGTTAGCATGTACTTGCAGGTGCAAAGAGCCAGGCCAAGCGTGGGGTGAGCTGCTCTGTAGTCAGCCCCTGTACATTTGCGTTGTTGGAAGAAAGCTCAGAAGCAGATGACTTATCCTGCCACTGAGATTTGCAGGTGCCAGTCACTTGCTACCTGACCCCACTGTGCTTCATCTCTTCTCAATCCCCTTGCAGGATTTGTCTCCCGCTCCATCCCAAAATGAAAAGCACCCGCAGCTGTTCCTCTTGCCAGTCCATCAATGCTGATGGCATAGACCTGAGTCTGACGGGCCTGCCACTGCAAGTTTTGCAGCGGCCAAGCAGCGCCTCTCCAGCTAAGCACATGGCTCGTTCCGTCTCCGTCATCACTGAGAGCAAGCCCAAAAGGAACGCTCTGGTGAGTACTGTGTGGGGGAGGTGCTTTCTCCAAAACCTCCCATTACCACAGGGGTGGGGAGCCTTCTCAGGGTTGGGGGCTGCTGACCCACGCCCGAGCGAGAGGCAAAGAAACAAAACAAACAAAAAAAACCCAGTGACCAAAACTCTCACTAACGTGGCCCTCGACTGAGAAGGAGAGAGACACTCTCCACACTCCCCTTGCACACCGGATCATAGGGGGAGCCTGGGTTAGTAGATTTTGTGCACTCCAGCTCTGCAGAGGAACATCGGAGAGGAGAGGGGTTGGAGTACCAGACTGGGCTCCCCAATGTTGGGGGGAACCCTGAGCCTCAGGGGCTAGATCCAGGCAAGCTGGGGGCCATATTTGGCCCCTGGGCCTTAGGTTCCCGACCCCTGCATTATTGGGAGAATCTGGACAGACATGATACACCCTAGAGCAGTGGTCCCCAACCTTTTGGGGCTGCCAGGCGCCTGGGGCCGGCCCAGATCATTCGGCGGGCGCCATGGCACCCACGGGCACTGCGTTAGGGACCACTGCCCTAGAGGGGTCCCTGAGTGTTTAACTTCATCCCCTGGGGCATGTGTTCCCCTTGCTTTTGTTCTCTGAGCAGAAGTTGGGTGTGTGCTTTGGGATAGGAGGAGCCTCTAACGGCCTGTTGCTGTTTGAAGCACCACTGCTGTGTGCGGCAAGTGTTCTGAATTCATTTAATAGAGGCCAGGCCATTTTTCTGGAGAAGAAAGGGTTTGGGAAGGGCCGGCTACAAGCTGGATCTGGAGGGGAGGGGGTTCGGTTGCTGGAGGAGGGATCGTGTTCTTTATCTAGACTACACAGGCTGAAGTCTTGATGTGGACCTGTGGGTCTCCTCCTCCTCCTTTCTCTTCTTGTTCCTTCCCATTGTCCTGTAAGGGCAAGGCGGTGCCAGCAGCTGTCAATCAGTACTTTCCATCCCTTCCTTGCTCTTCCCTTTGGTGACTTCCTTTCAATGATCCTGCATCTGGCAGAAGATGCAGATGTTGGCCTTGTCTTATATCTTCAGACTAGGGATGTAACACTGTCACTGTTTAAATGGTTACGGGAAAGAATTAGTGGACACAAATCAGATATCCGAAAACGCAGTATACAAAAACCTGTGTCAGGCTGATTCCACAAGCCAAATACACAGAGAAGGATTGGAACTTAACTTCATTTACATGTTTAATTCTTATGCAAATGGTATGAACAAGGACATGGGCTAGCTCCCACACTACGTTCCACGTCCTATGACTTAACCCAGTTGTCTCCAATGCAGTGCCTGTGGGCGCCATGGCACCTGCTGGGCCATTTATGTGCACCCGCTGAGTGATTGGGGCCGGCCTCGCACCTGGGCGCGCAGCGCGTGGGGTGTGTCGGCCCCGGGTGCGCGGCGCATGGGGTGTGTCGGTCCTGGGTGCGCGGCATATGGGCGGCCCCACCCCCGGGTGTGCGGTTCATGGGTGGTGCTGGCCCTGGGTGCTCGGCGCATGGGCGGCCCCAAAAGGTTGGGGACCACTGACTTAACCTACCAACCCAACTGTGGAGGTGCTAATTGTTCTTAGCCTGTTGTAACCATTTGAACCATCTACTCACTGTCTCTCTCTCTCTTTCCCCCTCCTTTTCTCTCTTTTTTTTTTCCTCTCTGCACTTCCCTTATTTATTCTTGGATCTGGACTTCTAATACCTCTGTCATCTGAAGAAGTGTGTTGCGCCCACAAAAGCTCATGATTCCATCTACATGTTTTGTTAGTTTTTAAGGTGCTACTAGTCTACTTGTTGTTTTTTAAGATTTTCTTTAGAGAGCTATTGTTGGGTTTTGCAACACACCGCTGGGGATACCCAGCACTCTGAGCCACTGTGTTCCCTCTCTGGCTTTGCACCAGTGGACTTGCTGGAGATTAGACTGTTTGCTCCCTGTCATCCCAGCAAATGCTTCATGGCTTTCCCAGTCCAGACTGGGCCAGCTGGTAACAATCAGTGAACTCCAGCCCTCAGGCTCATCAGAGAGGTTTCTTGGCAGCGCACAGCCCCTACCCCTGTGCATTCCCAGAAGACGTTAGTCAGGCCCTCTTAACTTCTCTATGTAACTGAGGTAACTATTCCTGTCTCTTCAGTCGCAGCACTGAACGGGTTTATAATAAAAGTAAAACAAGTTAATTAACACGAGAGCATTGATTAAGTGTTACCAGGTAAAAGAGAGTACAGCTGAGATGGTTACATACAAATGAATGTGAAAACATGCATCTCAGAATCTAAAACTTAGTCTTGCACGATGCAGTCTTTGTTCAAGAGGATTTCTTTTACCTCCAGTCTCCTTTCGAGCATTTGCTGTCAGATTCTGCCCAGACCAATCACAGAAGCAAATAACTCAGGGTCTGTCTACACTACAAAGTTAATTCGAACTAACAGCCGTTAGTTCGAATGAACTTTCATAGGCGCTACACATACAAACCGCTAGTTCGAACTTAATTCGAACTAGCGGAGCGCTTAATTCGAACTAGGTAAACCTCATTCTATGAGGACTAACGCCTATTTCGAATTAAGTAGTTCGAATTAAGGGCTGTGTAGCCACTTAATTCGAACTAATGGGAGGTTAGCCCTTCCCAGCTTGCCCTGGTGGCCACTCTGGGTCAAACCAGGGAAACTCTTCAGCCCCCCTCCCGGCCCTGGAGCCCTTAAAGGGCCATGGTCTGACTACGGTGCTTGTGCCAGGTGCAAGCCTGCCAGCACCTAGCCAGCAGACCCTGCACCTGGCACGGCATGAGCCAGCTACCCGCTGCCATCCAGCCCTCCGCCTCTTCCCGGGACCAGGCTGGCAGCTCCCAGGAGCCTGCCGCCAGAGGCGGGCGCCCCCCC